CTCGGCAAAACATTTACACGCGTTTATTATACGTGCCCGCGATTTTTTCATATTTAATTGTTGTAGACAGATCCATATTGTACTTTTTTTTTTCGTTGATAAATCTCTATTTAATTCTATACAGGGCTAATCCCCGTTCCAGATGTAATCAATTGGCCGTGGATCAGGTAGACTCGCGTGTGTACACACTCTTCCTTGTATATATGACTTTATACTCGTGTTAAACAATCGCATGTGCACTTGGAAATAATATACTTTACAAAACATTTTTTTCAATTTACTTACATGCTACTCACAATAATCTTATCTAACTATATCATGCTTCAATAGCACGTATTTGATTATGATATCTGTTATTGGACACAGTTGTTTGAATACGGATCTGATCGGATTTATTGCTCTATTTTTTGATAATCATAATTTTAGATCAGAATAAATCAAACGAAGAAAAGCTTTTTTCGCATTTATAACTGTGATATAATACTATTTTTATCGGAACTTCATATACTAGCATCAAAATAACTTTTCATCAGTGCATATAGAGTGATTTTTTTATCATAACCCACTAAATTACTTACAGAATAATAATAATTAAAAAATTTTTTTTTTTTTTATTATCTTTAGTTACACTTTATTCTTGAATTATTAACTATGTAATACTTTTTAAGTTCATCCATTATGCCTGGTAAGGGTGTAGACTTTGTTTTTTTTAAATGGGAACACATATTTTGAATTTAATAAAATGTTTGAGTTTTTAATATAATAGTAAATGGCATTTGAATTTTTAGTATAACTTTATTTGTTTATTAAATAAAAACACTTAAATTTTCAAATTTTTAAGTTAATATACATGTATAATACACAAGGGATTACAAATACAGATATCTAATTGGTTTTTTATGACATCAATATTAACAGGTACACAGCATTGTTATTATCAAAGGTAGTAAGGTACATTGTTGTGAGTTCATAAATACACTAACTGACAATACAGAAAGTATATCTATTGTTAGTCATAATTGATAATAAACAATCCGTGACCGTGAAAGCAATGTCATAAAAAACCAATAAGCTACCTGTATTTGTAATCCCTTGTGTATTATACATTTATATTAACTCAAACNTCCCTTGTGTATTATACATTTATATTAACTCAAACATTTGAAACTTTAAATGTTTACATCTAATAAACAAATAAAGTTATACTAAAAATTCAAATGCCATTTACTATTAAATTAAAAACTCATTCATTTTATTTAATTCAAAATATGTGTTCCCATTAAAAAAAACAAAGTTGACATTTTCATAATATAAGGTATGAACTTAAAAAGTATTACATTGTTAATAATTCAAGAATAATGTGTAACTAAAGATAATAATAATAAAAAAAAAAAAATGTTTAAATTATTATTACTTTTTAAGTAATTGAGTGGGTTATGATAAAAAAATTATCATGTATATTATTCATGTCAATCTTTTAAATCATTCTTAGAAATATATATAAAAAAGCATTGATAAAAATCTAATGTAATAACTATGAAAAGTTCTTTAGTTGTGACAAATCATATATTTTATATATAATTATATATATATACGCATATATATTATTATATATGTAATTAATGAAAAGTAAATATTATTTAAGCTATGATATTAACTAAGTATATTTATATTCAGTACTTATGTCATTTATAAAATAGTTAATGATAACTAATAGTTTAAGTAATGCTACTGATTAAGATATTAATTCAATTAAAACGATCAGTTAGTAGTACAATCATAACAAATAGTTAGATTTTAATTATTTATTTAGTTGTTTTAACTATATGACTTTAGTTCTTCAAACTATACAATTATTTTATCACTATATCAATTAGTGATGGGAAATATCGAATAGTAACTAACGAACTATTTGATTGTTGTCCACTATTCGAATTATTCGATAGTCTATGCTAAAAATAATCTATTCGGTTGTATAAACACAATTCGAATAGTTAATCGATAGTTTAAAATATTTGAAAATTCCCATTACTAATTATTAATTGTATAATAATTTATTTTAAGTATTCGTTAATTATCTTTTTATTATAAATAAAAATAAAAATTTTAGGTTGAACTAATCGAATATTTTTTGAATCCATTCGGTAGACATTTGAATAGTTTATGCTAAAAATAAACTAATCGGTTGTATAAAAACAATTCGAATACTATTCGAAAATGCTCATCACTAATATCAACCGTGTTATTCAGTTGAGTTAATTATTATATTTAAATGACTATTTCAACTATTTAGTTCTTTCCGCGTAAGTTAAATCTGTTATGGATATGAATTTAATAACAAGTAAATCAGTCGTTAGTTAATTTTAATTCTCTTCGATGTTATTTACATGGACACTAGTAAATTTCATGTTATTAATTTTTTATCTTTACTACTTAATGTGCAAAAACAAATTCCTTTAGTCATTTACATTAGTGTATGTTTTGATCTGTGAATATAGATTGTTTTTCATGTATGCCTCGATGAAAACCTTCAAAGAATGCCATAACCACTTCTTGTGTGTATTAAATATACAAAATATTACGCATATAGACACGTGATAAGAAAACGGTGTTACGACAAGAAAGTACCGACATACTTCATAGCCTCCGTCGATTGACGATGATAATGTTGACGACAACCGTGTAATAATAATAAAAGGGGTTGGTGGTGGTAAACGTCGCATAATCCTTTGCCATCACGTTCCTCTCTCTGGTCTTAATTTTCTGGTGTTACCTATAAAAATTCGTGAAGGAATTCCATCGCTGCAAACGTACTAGTGTAAGATATACCTTTCAGCTGAAGGCTTTTTCAACAGCTCACCCTATTATACCCTTGACATAATCATTTTAAATTCTGTCATGATCGACATTGAGCAATAATATCGCGAATAACTCTAATGCGGCCACTATAAATCAACATCAATATTTCTCAACGAATGAAGGACATAAGTTTCTACAAGGCAAATAAAAATTTCAATATGAAGTGAAATTTATTATTATAATTTTCTGTTAATTTCATGTAAAAGTTTATAAGGAGATCATTTTTCTACACTTTTTATGAACTGAATATTTATCTGAATTAAGTTTTGTTTTCGAAAGGATATGCTATCTGTAAAATATTATCTCGAAACATTCATAATTAAATTCTATACGTTGGAAAAAGTGGTTTATTTGTTTTAATAAAATAATATAGTATTCATAAAAAAATGATTAGATTTTCTGTGTTTTTATTTTCTATATCATATTCAATGCTATCCTTATGTGACTGAATAGCTCTTAATTAATATTCGTTTACATTTCGAGCATTTTTTCGAAACCGTTCTAATATATAACCGTTATTGACTTTTTAAAGATTTTAAATGTTAATTGTCGGTATATATATAGTATAAACATAACACGAATGGTTATTAAGATAAGATCATTCGAATACAGCCCAAGTTGAGAGAAATTGCGAGTAAAGGATACGCTGCGTTCGATTTGCATTCCTCGAATGTTTTATAAGTAAGTCAGCTAAAAGCCTGATAGTAATTTCGCGCCGACTAAATCTAATAAACAGACAATTCAAAGGCTCCACATTGGTGCCGCCTAAGCCGTCCAAGAATGTGCATAGACCTCTCATAATATTTATATGAAACTCAGTCTGAGTATAGTTGTTTTTTTTCCTCCCGCCATTACATTATTTAAACTATGACATTCATAAAATAGAATATGTATAATGTAATCAATTTATTTTATATATTTTTTTAACTTAACACAACTAATGGTTATTTTTGAACATTCTTTTACACATTATAATAATCTTAAACTTCTTTAAAAATTAAAAACAGAAAAAATCTTATTTTTTATGAAGTTTGTATAAAGACTATACCATAATACTGTTAACTAGTGATGCGCGGTATCTCATACCACTCTGATTATTATTTAATCATTTTCGTTCTTATCAGTTGAAACAAAACATCGATTTTAGTATATACCTTTAAATTTTAACTAAATAAATCGATAAAACTGAGTTAATTATCAGTATATTTTAAAGTTAATATATTATACCGCATGTTACTTATTACATCATTTTTAGCTTCGATTCGAAGCTGAGAAGGTATTAATTTTACCATGATTTGTTTTTATTTTTTGGTACACATTTTATAATACATCGTTGTGGTCAAGTAATTTTTAAATAGTCTTAAAATATAAAATTATATTGTATGGTACAACATGATGGGATACAAGATATCCTCTAAATCGTGATCAAAAACCGTTTCCTAGAGAAGACATGAGAGGCAATCGTGGGATTTCCGTAACTTTCATCATCTTGAAACTATAAAAGCCATGAAGCTATATTGACAAAGTAGTTTAGTGTTTCAGTGTGGTCTAGTAGTCTAGTTTCTATAAGTTACAGGGTCACCATTAATTTAGATATATATTTAAATGTTAATTAAAATAATATTTGTAACTATTTGTTTGTGTTATATTCATTTAAATTATTATTTATACAGGGTGGCCCACCACCCACTGACAACTTAAATAACTTTTGATCCAGTTAATATTTTTAGCTGATTTTTTTTTTTTAATAATAGTTATACGTTAGGTCTATAGCTATAGCTCAATAATTATTTTTTTTACATTTTATTAAAAATATTAATTATTTTAAAATTTTAAATAAAATGTAAAAAAAAAATCTAAGATAGCTATTTTGTAGAGTAGAATTTAAGAAAAATTTTAGTAAAAAAATATCTTATTAATATTCAGTAGTAAATATTCTGTAGCGTTTTTAAGAAACAAAATTTTAAGAAATGGATTGTGAACCTGACCCTTTCAAAAGATTATACGTTAGTGATAATACATTTGCAGATAATATTTTAAGTCTGCTAAATGAGACTTTTAGTAACATTGAAAGTGACTATAAAAGTTTATGCATTGAAAGTGATCATTTTTTTGTTCCGAACAAGGCGACATAAGTTTTTTTACGAAAAAAATAAGTATATATGTAAAGACGAATTTCGTCCCAGAAATACTAGAACACTGTAGTCAAATATTGTTCTACTACCACCAGTCTTACGGTAGAGTCACGTGTTTCAGGGCCAATCCGTTAGAAGTATATTATTATTTAACGATAATTGATTATTTATTCAAAAATTTGTGCTTTAAGAGACACTGGCATAACTGAAATCAGAGCATTATTCGTGTTATTGTATTACACATCAGTTTTTAAATCTAACCATGAAAGTTCCAATTTTCGCAACTGATGATACTGAAATTTCCCGAGTGTGATCAGTCAAAAAATACTTTTGAATCTTTTGACTTTTTGGCGATTTGACAATCATAATGACCGCGAAGAAAAAAAAAATTCATTCACTCCTATATTGAATTTATTTACAAAATTATGTCAGTCTACTTACACTATATGTAGTTGGTCTACAATTGATGAAATGTTGACAAGCTTTTTAAAGGAAGATTTAAATCAAGATATGCCAATGAAGCCATGTAAGTATGGTATAAAGTTGATGTGCATGACAGATTTACGCAATAGTTACATGATAAATGCATATATTTATACTGAAAAAAATTCTGATGGCATGAATATCAACGAACAATATAAAAAAATTTCAAATCCTACCCAAGCTGATCTTAGTCTAATAACACCAATAAAAATCATTAATCGTGCATAATTGGCTTACATCCATCAAGTTCATCGAAGTATTCAATGAAAAACTCTTACGTTGATATAGAAAAAAAAAAACAATAGATAAATCCCTTCGATTTTTTTATCACAAAAAAAGAAAGAAGTCGAGTATGGCTTCACAAAACATATTACTATGGTATCGATAGTAGTAAAATCAGGAAAACCGGTGATTTTAGTTTTGTCTAAGCATAGCCAAAAATGTTTTAACCAGGAAAGAACAAACCCGAAATAATATCTTACAATAATTCAACTTAAAGAGCCGTTGATTCCTTAGATCAAAATTGTTCAGTTTATTCCTCTAGCCGTTTTCAGAGATGACTGTTTTTTACTGAATGCTTGGTATAGTTAGCGTTAACGCAATTGTACTGTAATCTATTACAGTACATACTATTTAAAGTATATATTGATTTATATAAATCGTATTAAAATAATATTGAGATAAATGGAGCTAAATTTTTAAAAATCTAAATTTGCTTTAATCAAATCAGAAATGGAGATATGACACAAAAATAAAGAAATACTTCAAGTTTTTCGTTTAAAGATTGAAGATATTTAAAAAAAAAAAAAAAAAATCTGTTAAAAACCGATGTTTCGACAAACGGCTCGAAGTAAAAAAAAAACATTTTATGTTTGTTATTTATGTGGAGATCCGATCTGTTTGGATTGTTTTGAAAAAGTATGCAAGTTATGTTTTAGTGGTGAATTATGATATATTTTAAAATTTTTTTATTTTATTTAACTTATTAAAATTAAAACTTTTAATAATAATAACTTTTCTACAATAAAGTAATTTTTTTATTATAGAGACAAAAATAGGGTATTTTATTCATTGTTATTTTTTAAATTAAATTTTAACTTTTTTTTATAATTAAATATATATTGAAACGGCTAATTGCCTATTGGCGAGTTCTGTAAAAGTTTTAAGATAATTCATGTAAACATCATTTTGTTATAACCATTCTGATATTAAAAAAAAGTATGGAATAAAATTAAATACATATTTATTAAATTAAACTCAAGAACTTATGTTTTTTACATATTCAATTTTTTAGTGAGATAAATTAGTATATATGTTGTAGAATGTCAAGTGTACAAATTTGTTTTATTTTACACAAATACTAAAAGTGTAATTACAGTTAAATAAGGTGCGGTATGTTATACCGAAAGCCACTAGTTAAGAGTTAATGTTTGTTGAATTAAAGTGATCTATAATTGAAAAATCAAATATCAACCATTCATTCTGTTGTAAAGTTTGTATTTAATTATACATTTATAAAATATGTACAAGTGAAACGGTCATGGGTAAAATTTGAGACGAGTTAGAGTAAAAAAAAAGTTGTGTCAAATAGCGTGAAATAACGTTTCCATATTTATTTTTGGTTGTGTCATGTTAGATATTTTACGAAAAATAAAACGCTCCTTAATAACGGAACTGCTCGTGTGTACTTATGAATGCGGCTCTTACTTTGCACAAAAAGTTGTCGGGCGAGGGAAAACAAGAGACATTTCCTGTGCATATGTAAAATTCGCACTTTACGGCTGGATAGTTGGGGAAATGAAAACGTCGACGACCGGCACGCGTTGGCGGAATGCTTTTGTGAGGACCAGCAGTGACTATGGTTGTCGCGTTAAAATGTTTTTTTATTACATTTTTAATTCTCGCGCATATCATACCGTGTTGATTCGCCGTATTCGCCGTGAACTTACAGTGCGTGATACGGTTTTCTTTTTAAGCTGTGTACGCCGTCAGACATCGGATACCGTAGAGCTCCCAAACAATACATTCCTATTATTCATATGTTTAATAATAATTCGCCAATCCCACCTGCTTTAACTCGATTGTATCCGTAGCCGTAGTAGTAGTAGTAATCGGTGTAATATTATTTACTCGAAATGGTTTCGAAACGCAAAGGGTTTCTCTTTGTTGTGCAAACATTCGGGCGCAAAACTATCTAAACTCGAAACGCGTTAACACGACCGCGTTACAAGTAAATTGTCGCTCTGTTGCTTCTCGCGAGATCCAATGTTATTAATTTATCAAAGCTGCTCGCTCGACTTGTAACACCGAGAGGCGTTATCAATCAGTTGACGAGTTCCGGGCGCCTTTGATGTTTTAATTAAACCGTGATTAACGCCTAAAAGTGGAAAAGGGTGTTCTATACAAACAACCGGCAACGCGTTGTTCGATGGCAAACACAGTAATCGGCTGAAGAATTTCATTTTGAACGCTCGGCCTGTGAATTTTAAATGTTGGTGCGGTACTATACAAATACCGAAGAAAACACATCGGAAACACGCGATCCGATCAGTTACAGTGCGTAGGGATAAATCTTTTAAAACTTTTTTTAAACAGCCAGTGACCGTTTGTTCCCTTTACGCATACGAATTAAATTTAAATTGGTTTTTCGTTTTGATCTCTTGTCAACAATGCCCATGTCCTAATAATTCATATATCGTTTGTTTACTATTTCACCGCAGTTTACAGTGTGCACGTGCTTGTTTACAGGGTGTGATAAGATTTTCAGACAACTCTCTGGCCGCTATTCAAAGTGTCTATGATATGTACGAGTTCCAAACGATTTCAAATGACCAGCAAGTGCCCTCGGGCAGTAGAATCATATTAATTGGTCAGTATTTTATTATAACACTGGATAATTTCATTGTTTTGAACTGTTCATTAGTAACCGTATCATAAGTTAAAATGTTGACTTTAAAACTTAATAATTATAATAATATGAGCTAAAACTTTTAACAATGAAAAGAAAATCGTTTGGTAGCTATACTTTATTCAAACTTCATTAATTGTACGAAAATAGAAATTATATATTTCTTCATTTGATTAATTTTGACAGTAACAAGCTGTAGAATTCCACGGCCTATCGGAAAGAATAGAGACATTGCTCAAAATTTAAAATTTGTCTAATTAATGCACCGATATCAATAAAAAAAAACTAAATTTTAAGCTAAAATAGTTTCATTGATTTAGGTTTAATAGTTTCCACAAGAGAGTCACGAAAATTTAATTTATCGTTAAATAGTATATTATTAAAAAAAAAAATAATTCAATACACAAAATTGTTTATTTTATTTTGTCTCTTGTGTAAAATTTGTTTTTTTTTTTCAAATTCGAGTAAGCTGTAGTTTTAATATTAAAATAAATAATTTTATTTTATAATTATTAATAGATATTAGTCGTTCAAAAATCATAAGCTAAAATTGGACACAGTACTTAGATTATAAAAATTGTTCATACTATTTTACATTACTCATTAAATTTACTATTTTAAGTTTATAAAACAAATTATAATACTTGAATTTGTTTGGTTAGAGTAGACATTTTTTGTTAATTAATATTCAGTAACAATATAGTTTTATTTTCACATAAAATTTTTGGCGTGGAATTTAAAGAAAAAATTTCATATTTTACATTTTATACTTATTTTGATATAAATGAGGTTTATACATTAATTTATTGAATTTAAATAATTAATCTAATCATTTTTATTCTAATTTTTTTTTTTGTAATGGTTTATTTATAGACAAATATTACTTTCGAGAAAAAAATGGCTTTCTAAATGGCTAACTCTTTTTTACTCATAATAAATAATTATTATTATGATAAATTGCGAAATTACTAAATACAATGAACTTTGTCATAATTTTTTTATTTCGGCTAAAAAAATCTGGTTTAACAATTATTTATTTATTTATTTATAACTCACTTTATACTAACTGTTCTCTTACCCTATCAATGAAGTAAGATTATGCTTCGTTTTTCATTTTATTTCTGTTCATTACTTATTAAGTTCAAATATCACTATTATTGTTTAATTTATATTTTGATAGTTTGTCTAGTTAAAAATAAAATTATATATAACTAACTTTTACTGCAAGTGAAAAATAATGCACAATTTTACTTCAGGTTACTCTATGTAAATATTCTTTCCGATTTGCTATATACATAAATTTTACATATTATATTACATTTATATATGTATTAATATTGTTTTTTTCTATTTTGATTTCAGGAAAATATTTGGATAAAATTACTTTAAATAATCTCCTTATCAAATGTATAAACGATAGCAAAAAATAATAATAATGGTTGATGTTAATATGCGAGTTAATACTAACTCGTATTAATATTTTAATATTGTCGTTAAATTTTTCTGAAATTAATATTTTATTTTCAATCTTATGTATAATAATTTTAAATTAATGCTTTCATTTAATTGTTTTTTACAATAAAGATTAATTAATTATTACAAAATGTTAGATTTACACTATATTCCTGAATACAAATCAGAGTGGATATGATTTAATTAAACCGGTATGGTTAAAAGTCTGGCTGTGATTAAAATCAATATCATAACGCGCTACAGTACAAATGTGCAAGACTGGCCATAATCAAGTTAATAAATTAAAGTTAAGTTAGGTAAATTTTTTTAGTTTATCGATGATATTTAGATTATACTTGAATTCAATTTTAATTTATCTTTTCTTTATATAATAACTTATTGACGTATACATTTTTCATCAAATACCTTTTATAATAATAAAATTCTGAATACTATAAAAAAAATTACTTAAATAAAAATTCGTTCGAAAAATATTTATCTTGGACATTTAATTTGTTCTATGAATAATAAGTTTTTAACATAATTTACGGTTTCCTGTTGCTTAATGTCAATACTAGTATTGGGCAAAAATATCGATATTTCGATACAATATCGATATAGTAACAAATGTTCGATACATTGTAACATTAAAATTATCATAATTCACTAGTTTATTGTAAATTTTCAAATTATATTTCACTATGGCATGATATTATTCTGTCATATTGTATGAAAATTACAATCGTGTATGTGAACTCATACCTATGAATAATTTTTATTAATTCTTTAGCTAACAATTAATAAAAAATGGTACATAAATAAAATATAAATATGTGTTAGTGCCATTCTCTGAACTTTTAAATCGAGAACTTTTGGTAGTTAGCATTTTGAAGTTTAAAAAAAAAGTTTCGAGCATTAACCAAAAATTCGTGTAATTGAATTACAATAGATTTTGCATTAAAAACAATATCGATATCGCCAAAATCCACAAATATCGACGTATAAAAAATTATAACGTTGCCTATTACTAGTCAATACTATTGATTAGCAAAATCTCTGACACATCATGAATGCCCAGCAAATGGTCGGTCAACCAATAGCATACAGTTATTTTAGTAAACAATTCCTATTATTATACATCTTTCGACATTATTGTCACAGTAGGCGTTTAATATATAACCGGAACATTGCAATAAATGTTGATAAACTAAATTGCACTATCTATAATCTTATTTAAAATTGCGTAGGGAAAGTTACGTTTTCAAAAATGTTGAATCAGGTTTTGTTGCATAAAAAAAAGAAAGAAAAAATTGTATAATTTCACTTCAAAAAAATTTGGTCACCCTACGCTTATAATATTTTTGTAAATTATTCCTTGTATTAACTTAACTTGTTAAGTTATAAGGATTTTATAAATTTATCTTTTAAATTTATTTACTAAAAAAAAAAATAACGGATAAACTATATATATTAACTTGTTAATTTTTTCCAATTAACTTAATTTTAAAAAGGTAAAAAAATTCACTAACTTAGCCAAACTTAAAAATGTGCATATACAGAGTATTTAGTAATTAAGGAAACAGGTAAATTGTTACAAACAATGAGAACAATAGAAACCCGTTTTCTTAATTACTGAATACCTCATATAAGGAACTATTCAAATTTCACAATGCTAATAATTTCATCCAGTATAAAAATTATTATCTAGAATAAGCCATAAGTGTTTTTTGAAGAATGTCGAGGAGTTTGAGGAAACATTTTAATCACTTGTATACTATATGGAAGATATCTGAGCGAATTATTTAAAGACACTAAAATCAGCTGCTTGTAAAAAGTTAGTATTTTTTCTAAATGGGTGATCGATAATTCAAAGTAAATGTTAGAACATTTTTTTTTAATTTTATTAGTTTTAAATAAACTACATTAATTTTATAATTTTTATGAATACAAATTTTCGGAACACTGTCAACCATGAAAAACGAAAATGTGTTTACGATATGGCCATGGTGTGACATAGACATAACATGGAGTTCTCCAAAAAAGTATACCTAAAAAAAGATAGAAGATTAAAGTAATTTTTATAAATTACATTATGTTTCATGAATTTCTCAAAAATGTTTATGATAAAAGTTGTAATTGACGATATACATTTTTTCCATTTCATTATTTACTAATTTTGGAATGTGTCCTCTTAGTGGGAGTATCGAGAGAAATTTTGTGAATTTTGAGAGAATAATAATCACAATTATTGATTTTTTATCGTAGTAATATGTAAAATTGCACACTAATGATTTACTAACAAACAATAACGTTAGCACAATAGTAAATTTATTAGTTTCGATGCATCGTATCAAAACCAAAAGTTTATAATTAGACTACCCATATTTATGTAGAATTTCACGTATACATCACAGTCCTGTTTTATTATTTGTTAAATTCTGGACGTCTTTACTGCATAATTTTACGATAAAAACCCAAACTTGGAATGATAAAAATGATATAAGTCTATAGAATACTCAACGGTAAATGTGTTATCTAAGAGTTTCCAATTTTAAAGAAAATTGTTTGTCTAATTAATGAGGTAAATGTTAAAAGTAAAATGGTAAACTAGTATTAATTATTATCATTTCTATGTCGAGTACCTTGATTTCAGTTAATACCTTCACTAAGTTATTTAGTAAATATGTGGCGTTTTATTTTTCGTGATCTATTAGATCAGTGTTTCCAAAACTTTTTGCGATGGTTGCTCCTTTACTGGATTCCCAGTTTTTTTTCTCAATTTCTACAATAAAAATTGTACCTATAGTAGAAACCATATTGCCCCCCGACCAAGAAACATTATATTACATGATTCCCTTCATGAAATATTTGTTAATCACAATAATTAACTAAGTTAGTTATCTATTTGAAGTATTGAACTGAACTTGTATATTAATGTCTATACTATTGTCACTATTTTTTTTATTAGTTTATTGTAAAATTTTTCATGATAATTTGAATTATCATATCAGTGACGCATTCAGGATTTCGTTTTGGGAGAAGATACGCATAATACGTTTCTTACTACGTCCTCGAAAAAACATTTTTAACATTTATTTATTTTCATTTCGGGGGCGGTTGTATCCCATACATCCTCCTTCCGGGAGAACACCCATATATCACATCGCCGTAAATAAATAAATAATTTAAAATTAATCATTTTTACAAATTCAAGTGAAAATATGAATCTAGAGAAGAAACAATGCGCACAGTAAAAATTAGTTTTATATTATGTATCTTATGGCTGTCGCTATAACAAAATAGTAGTTGTTTTTTATTTCCTGTTTTATCTGTACTACTTCTATATGACGTGAACAATATTAAAATTTGCATTCAACAGACCAATTGTTACGGTCTCGCAAAAACATTTTGAGGGGTAAGTAAATAAATGACTATGACCCTTCGGCGTCAACAACCGCACTATTAGTCTTGGCCAAAGGCTGGTTTGCCGTTAACCCAGTCGCATTGTATTATCCTTTACAGTGGTTTCTGCCTTATTGTTTTCTTCATCTCTCGGCTATTCTCTTTATATTTTTCGCCGTTTTTCTGCAAAAGTTTAATTAATGAGATTATACCAGAAGAAAAGTGAAAAACAATGTCATTAATTTCTTCTAAATAATGCCCTTTCAACTGGTAATATTAAAATCCAATAAATTAATTCTTACTGAATGATCTTTATACTTATGTTCACGTTAAAAATGAAAACCGATGATTAAAATATTGTATATAAATAAACAAATATATTATCTAGCAATGCATAACAATATAATGAAATTTATACCGTTCCGTAAAATTACTTTTCTTCTTTGTGTATTAAAAGTAATGTCTAACTTTATTAAAAGAATTATTTGTTTTTTTTATTAAAATTATACTTTTAAATTTTAAGAATTATTTATATTGTACTTTTTTTTCATTATATTTTATCATGTTATACACTTATTAAATCTGGTTTACCCCTGTCAATAAAAATTGGTCAAATTTCTGATTTTATTATAATATAGTATATACAGAGTGATCAATAAACTATGACATACTATATCTCTAAAAATATAAACATGATTTTATTCTTTCTTCCAAAAAGTTAAGAGCATGTTACGTTTTATAATTTTCAACAATGATCCTATCACCTCTTCAAAATTTTACCAACTTAAATTTTTTAAGTGGGAACATATATATTTAATAAACTTAAAAATAAGAAAATTACTGCTCAATAACTATTAAATCAGTATTTTAAAACATATTGGAACTTTTATATTAAACTGTGTAAAGTGGGTCTATTTATTTTTATCTCTATTTATTAATCGCTCTACTACTCTGGTATAAAGATTTTATATATATTAAAATACTAATTCAAAAGTTGTTATCGATCAGTCATTTTCTTTGTTAAGCCATTTTCTAGTTTGTAAATTGGTAAAACATACATGTTTCCATTAAAGAAATTAAGTTAATACAATTTCTAAAAAGAATGAGTAGAAAACTAATTACTCATTAAAAGAAAATTTCTTTTAATGAGTAAATATAATATATACATTAATATGTAAACTATAATATTTAATATTATAGTATATTTTATATTTTTGAACATATTGTGTGAGTTGTAATTAAATAAATGTGAGAATATAATTGTTTTAAAAATAATATGAAGATCAAGTATTATTTAATTTTTATTTTAAAATTTCAATTGGGTGCCAAAATTATGAATTTAATAATTCTGTTTTGGTTAAAAATCATTTTTGTAGATTATATTCAATAACCTTCTATATAAAGTTCTAGAACATAATGTCCAAAAAAAATTATGTATACATGATATTCATATACATTTTATTTTATGGCATCTTAGATATTTTTATTATTCTAGTATAATATACGGCATTGATTTATTAACAATGTTATTTTAATTAATATCTTTTTTGAGAAAATGTATAAATTTCAAACTTTATTTAAACCTAAATTCAATTAAAAAAAAAATTAGTATATGTTTAGGTAAATTAGTCAGTTCTTTATATTTTTTAAAATTTAAAAGTGAATCCCACAGAAGGTCATATTATTGTTCAAAGTTTTCGCGGTATATAAATTACATAATATAAATTAGTTATATTTTTGTTAAAAATACATACCAAGAGAAAAATAAATTTCACTATAGTACTGTATTGTAAAAAAAGGAAAAAATCTAATATAGTGACTTAACTATACTTGTGCGTGAATTATTACATGTATGACAGATTTATTAAAGTGACAGTTGTTTATAAGTTTTCAAGTGGCTGTCAGTTGGGATTTTTTAGAGTTTGCAAAAATCTACCCTTCTCAATTACGTTGGCTCGATAACCACTCGACCAACTGTTCAGTAAAACTTTATACTCTATGATTTTAATAAAATCATAATCGTCTATTTGTTAGCAATTGATCCATTATTTTTGCTGGTGTTGAGGACTCCAGGGCACGTTTATGATATCAT